GGGAGAACAAGGAGGAAGTCAATACGATACGAAAACAAACACAAATGAAGACATACAAAAATGAGATAAAGATCGAAATGAAAAAAAGGAAACGGGGAATCACAGTAAGAATTAGAAAACTTTTAACATTATATTTCACCTGCACAAGCAGAGCACAAACTGGTTTCAGAAATGCTTTGGGTACAGCTGCAGGAACACTTTTGCAGAAGCTTCTAGTCAAAAACTTGATGGTTTCTTCTTTGACATTTGGGTTCTTGCTGTCAAGTGTTGCTAAGATGTCCTCCTGAAGTGCCACTAGTGTTGTCTGAAAAACATTGTAAATATATTCAAATTGGATGTTCCAGGCCCAGTTAAACCTAAAATACATGGCGAATTTTCCCCGTAGTAGGGTGGAGGGGTGGAAACGGATGTACACAGGCTAAAAATACTTGTCAAAACAACATGACTTTCCATGTTTTCCACGACATGTACAAACCATGTCACGAAAATTCTTAAAATATACTTAATATTGAAAACTAAATAACTACTTACTGATCCAACAACAGCGTCAATAGCATCTCTTAGTGCTGCGACAACTGTAGCTTTCTTCTCCTTAAACTTTTCAAGAATTGCTGAAGCAATCATCGRTGCATATGTTGCAAACTTCTTTCTTAATCCTGTGGCTAAGTGGCCAACACACTTTGCAGCAACTGTCACTACCATTATATTGACATCCTTACTGATAATCTGATGAAGAAAGAGTTTTAAATAGCTCATCGTTTTACCAAGATACAACTGCAGAATTAGAATGTTATTAATAACTTTACTGTACTGGGTTTGTGAGATATGTTTTTATCACAAAATTCAATAATATTAAAGAAAAATACTATTGGACCAAGATAATAATATGACAATACTCCGATTTCGAGTTCTGGTTTGCTCTGTGTTAGCCTCAAAACCAAGCAACAAATTCTTTTGTTTCAATGATAGCCAGAGAAAACGCATGGAATTTGACAAGACAATAGAATTGATTTGAAATCTCACACTTTTATTCTCGCAAATAGGAATATTTTGCGCACAAATGAGGCTAACACAGAGCAATGGAGAATTCGAAACTGGATTATTGATGCTTACAGAAATTTCCAAATACAATTGAACTAGAAACCTAACTGTACATCTGACATAAAATTTAAGGTTTACTTCCCACAACTCTAAACAGTTTTGTTTTTTCTTTTAATTTTCAAGGGCTTTTCAATTCTAGGGTTGTCCATGGATTTCAAGGAGTGTCACAAGCCCTGGCTGATGGTTCCAGACCAATATCCAGTGTTGTTCATGTACTGAAGTGTTGTACATTGTACGAATACAGGTCATTTCGCACAAAAGACCGTTCGCACAAGTTGTTTCGCCCATATTTCGGACCGTTCGCACAATTTTAAGAAGACACTTCGCACAGAAAATTATAAGTGAGCAAAATAATTTTATTGAGATTTGAGGCGTTCTATTTTCTGTGCGAAATGACTATCCATCGATATGAGATTTGTGCGAACGGTCCGAAACTTCGGGCAAAACGACTTGTGCGAACGATCTCTTGTGCGAAATAACCTGATACCCATTGTACATGTATACCACACTCACCTTTTTCAATGCGGACATCAGTTCTCCATACTGGCCTCCTTCTAGTTTAGGGTTGGAAACCAATTTTTCCAAAGCCTCCAGTGCTTCTTTTCTCAACTGCCACTTTTTGGCCTCCTGTAAAAATTTGCAAGCAATATCAAGAGTAGATAATTAAGTTACACTAGGATTCTTCAGGAATTCTGGAATTATGCGCTGATGCGGACCCGCATAATCGGCCATTCTCCGCATAATCCCGCATAATTTGTCAAAAAATCAATATATATGTTATCTATCTTGCGTCTGGCTTGAGTATTGTTTTTTTCCCTTTTTTATCGTCATACAAAGTGCTAAAGTATCATTTTTTAACAAAACAACGCCATACGTGCGCGCGACGCCATTTTGTTTTTATGACATTCATTTAGTGATGGGTTTCCTGTGGCTCGGCCCAGGTTCCA